AACTCCTTAGAGTACTCCGACAGGACCTAACTACAGGGTTGGGAATTTCAGATTATTAAAAACAAATAATAACTTAAATTTTCAGAAAAATTTTGAAAAAATCACAAAAACGTCATATCTCGAAAACTACAAGGATTTGAACAGTCATATTTGGAGGCAAGATTTGTATTACCTTAGAGTACTCCGAAAGGACCTAACTACAGGGTTGGGAATTTCAGATTTTTAAAAACTAATAATAATTTAGGTTTTCAGAAAAATATTGAAAAAATCGCAAAAAACGTCATATCTCGAAAACTACAAGGATTTGAACAGTCATATTTGGAGGCAAGATTTGTAACTCCTTAGAGTACTCCGATAGGACCTAACTACAGGATTGGGAAATTCAGATTTTGCGAAAAAAAATTAATATAAGTTTTCTGAAAATTTTTTGAAAAAATCACAAAAAACGTCATATCTCGAAAACTACAAGGATTTGAACAGTCATATTTGGAATCGAGATTTGTAACTCCTTAGAGTACTCTGACAAGACCTAACTACAGGGTTGGGAATTTCAGATTTTTAAAGAAAAAAAATAATTTAAGTTTTCTGAAAAATTTTGAAAAAATCGCAAAAAACGTCATATCTCGAAAACTACAAGGATTTGAACAATCATATTTGGAGGCAAGATTTGTAACTCCTTAGAGTACTCCGACAGGACCTAACTACAGGGTTGGGAATTTCAGATTATTAAAAACAAATAATAACTTAAATTTTCAGAAAAATTTTGAAAAAATCACAAAAACGTCATATCTCGAAAACTACAAGGATTTGAACAGTCATATTTGGAGGCAAGATTTGTATTACCTTAGAGTACTCCGATAGGACCTAACTACAGGATTGGGAAATTCAGATTTTGCGAAAAAAAATTAATATAAGTTTTCTGAAAATTTTTTGAAAAAATCACAAAAAACGTCATATCTCGAAAACTACAAGGATTTGAACAGTCATATTTGGAATCGAGATTTGTAACTCCTTAGAGTACTCTGACAAGACCTAACTACAGGGTTGGGAATTTCAGATTTTTAAAGAAAAAAAATAATTTAAGTTTTCTGAAAAATTTTGAAAAAATCGCAAAAAACGTCATATCTCGAAAACTACAAGGATTTGAACAATCATATTTGGAGGCAAGATTTGTAACTCCTTAGAGTACTCCGACAGGACCTAACTACAGGGTTGGGAATTTCAGATTATTAAAAACAAATAATAACTTAAATTTTCAGAAAAATTTTGAAAAAATCACAAAAACGTCATATCTCGAAAACTACAAGGAATTGAACAGTCATATTTGGAGGCAAGATTTGTATTACCTTAGAGTACTCCGACAGGACCTAACTACAGGGTTGGGAATTTCAGATTTTTAAAAACTAATAATAATTTAGGTTTTCAGAAAAATTTTGAAAAAATCGCAAAAAACGTCATATCTCGAAAACTACAAGGATTTGAACAGTCATATTTGGAGGCAAGATTTGTAACTCCTTAGAGTACTCCGATAGGACCTAACTACAGGATTGGGAATTTCAGATTTTGCGAAAAAAATTAATATAAGTTTTCTGAAAATTTTTTGAAAAAATCACAAAAAACGTCATATCTCGAAAACTACAAGGATTTGAACAGTCATATTTGGAATCGAGATTTGTAACTCCTGAGAGTACTCTGACAAGACCTAACTACAGTGTTGGGAATTTCAGATTTTTAAAGAAAAAAATTAATTTAAGTTTTCTGAAAAATTTTGAAAAAATCGCAAAAAAACGTCATATCTCAAAAACTACAAGGATTTGAACAATCATATTTGGAGGCAAGATTTGTAACTCCTTAGAGTACTCCGACAGGACTTAACTACAGGGTTGGGAACTTCAGATTATTGAAAACAAATAATAACTTAAATTTTCAGAAAAATTTTGAAAAAATCACAAAAACGTCATATCTCGAAAACTACAAGGATTTGAACAGTCATATTTGGAGGCAAGATTTGTATTACCTTAGAGTACTCCGACAGGACCTAACTACAGGGTTGGGAATTTCAGATTTTTAAAAACTAATAATAATTAAGGTTTTCAGAAAAATTTTGAAAAAATCGCAAAAAACGTCATATCTCGAAAACTACAAGGATTTGAACAGTCATATTTGGAGGCAAGATTTGTAACTCCTTAGAGTACTCCGATAGGACCTAACTACAGGATTGGGAATTTCAGATTTTGCGAAAAAAAATTAATATAAGTTTTCTGAAAATTTTTTGAAAAAATCACAAAAAACGTCATATCTCGAAAACTACAAGGATTTGAACAGTCATATTTGGAATCGAGATTTGTAACTCCTTAGAGTACTCTGACAAGATCTAACTACAGGGTTGGGAATTTCAGATTTTTTAAGAAAAAAAATAATTTAAGTTTTCTGAAAAATTTTGAAAAAATCGCAAAAAACGTCCTATCTCGAAAACTACAAGGATTTGAACAAACATATTTGGAGGCAAGATTTGTAACTCCTTAGAGTACTCCGACAGGACCTAACTACAGGGTTGGGAATTTCAGATTATTAAAAACAAATAATAACTTAAATTTTCAGAAAAATTTTGAAAAAATCACAAAAACGTCATATCTCGAAAACTACAAGGATTTGAACAGTCATATTTGGAGGCAAGATTTGTATTACCTTAGAGTACTCCGACAGGACCTAACTACAGGGTTGGGAATTTCAGATTTTTAAAAACTAATAATAATTTAGGTTTTCAGAAAAATTTTGAAAAAATCGCAAAAAACGTCATATCTCGAAAACTACAAGGATTTGAACAGTCAAATTTGGAGGCAAGATTTGTAACTCCTTAGAGTACTCCGATAGGACCTAACTACAGGATTGGGAATTTCAGATTTTGCGAAAAAAAATTAATATAAGTTTTCTGAAAAATTTTTGAAAAAATCACAAAAAACGTCATATCTCGAAAACTACAAGGATTTGAACAGTCATATTTCGAATCGAGATTTGTAACTCCTTAGAGTACTCTGACAAGACCTAACTACAGGGTTGGGAATTTCAGATTTTTAAAGAAAAAAAATAATTTAAGTTTTCTGAAAAATTTTGAAAAAATCGCAAAAAACGTCATATCTCGAAAACTACAAGGATTTGAACAATCATATTTGGAGGCAAGATTTGTAACTCCTTAGAGTACTCCGACAGGACCTAACTACATGGCTGGGAATTTCAGATTTTTAAAAACTAATAATAATTTAAATTTTCAGAAAAATTTTGAAAAAATCACAAAAACGTCATATCTCGAAAACTACAAGGATTTGAACAGTCATATTTGGAGGCAAGATTTGTATTTCCTTAGAGTACTCCGACAGGACTTAAGTACAGGGTTGGGAATTTCAGATTTTTTATAACTTATAATTACTTAAGTTTTCAGAAAAAATTTAAAAAAATCGCAAAAAACGTCATATCTCGAAAACTACAAGGATTTGAACAGTCATATTTGGAGGCAAGATTTGTAACTCCTTACAGTACTCCGATAGGACCTAACTACAGGGTTGGGAATTTCAGATTTTTAAAAACTAATAATAATTTAAGTTTTCTGAAAAATTTTGAAAGAATCGCAAAAAACGTCATATCTCGAAAACTACAAGGATTTGAACAGTCATATTTGGAGGCAAGATTTGTAACTCCTTAGAGTACTCTGACAGGACCCAACTACAGGGTTGGGAACTTCAAGTTTTGTAACTTATTTTGTTATTTGAAATTTTTGAAAAAATCTCAAAAATCGTCTTATCTCGTTAACTAAAATGATTCGGGCATTCAAAATTGGAGGCCAAATTCGCAACCCCTAATTCGATATTGGACTGCTTAACTTAAACTCGGTAAAATAACCACTAAAATCAAATTTGAAAATCGAAAAAAAAATTCTTAACCATTGCAATATACGATATAGCTTAAACATGCAAAAATAATACGTTGAAAAAGCTTAAGCATGGCGAGATAGTGAAGCCCGCATTTAAAGATATAATAGATACGTTGAAATATAATACGTTGGAGGCCAAATTTGCAACCCCTTGGTGAATCCGGACAGCATCCCAATATTGGGCTGCTTATTTTAAAACTGACAGTACCCAACTACAGGGTTGGTAACTTCAGGTTTTCAAAATTATTTTGTAATTTGAGTTTTCAGAAAATTTTTGAAAAAATCACCAAAATCGTCTCATCTCGTTAACTAAAAAACAATTGGGCCATTCAAAATTGGAGGCCAAATTTGCAACCCCTTGGTAAATCCGGACAGCATCCCAAAATTGGGCTGCTTATTTTAAACTCGGTGAAATAACGACTAAAATAAAACTGGAAAACCGAAGAACAAAATCTTAACCATTGCAATATACGATATAGCTTAAACGTGCAAAAATAATACGTTGAAAAAGCTTAAACATGGCGAGATAGTGAAGCCCGCATTTAAATATATAATATATTTGTAGACTGCACTTTCAAACTAAGTAACACCAATTTTGACATGGAAATTTTTCATCAAAGTTATTTACTGTTCGAGCATATGATTCATTTCCTTCATCTTTCGTCGAAGAGTAATTAATAATTGATCGCTATTAGGTGTCTGCACCACCCTCTAAGTTCCACCAGTGAGCGTAAAAAGCATCCACCTAAGGATAGCACTAATACTATTCAATGCCTTTCTAATACTCACTCAATCTCAGCGCGAATTATACAGTTTGACAGATGATAAGGCCACGACAGAAACCAACCTATAAATGATGAGATCACAACTGTATGGAGAACTGCAATGTTACGATCCAAACAACTTTCCTCTCATCTAGTTTTTCAGGGATAGGAAACATTGAGTCATGAATAAACAACGCGCACAGTTTATAGTGGCTCTCAACACCAGCAAGATCAAGATTGCCGCGCTAGGATAGTGTAAAGTTAAATTGACACTGAAACACATTCTGCATTCAGATTAGAGTACTCACTGGATTTCCTGCCAAGGTGACCCCCAGTTTCTCCTGCAACACCTTCCTATCTCTCTCCTCCCGCAACTCCTTCTTCACTTTCGCACCCCTCTCCCTCTCCCCCAAGGCATAGTCCACAGCCACACTCACTTGGTTGTCGCTGTTGCGAAGTGCTAGCCGACACTCTTTCTCCTCAAAGCCCAATAGCATCATGTCCGACAGCTTTAACTCGTCCACCGCTGCCAAAACAGAGAATTATTATCAAGAAATGAACTTCCTCTTCGCATGCATACACAAAATAATCACAGACAACACAATTGGAAACCAATTCTTCCCGTGCTTCCTCAAACCACTTCAATTTTCAACCACAAAGATATGATGAAAACTTAAAAGAGTTGAAGTTTTGAAAAAAAAATATTATACTTTTTTAAATTCACTGTTCACAAGCAGTGTAAGTCCAAATGGACTAAAATTCCAACTAGAAATGTCTTTCACAAATCGCCTCAAGTTATGACCAAATAATGGAGTGAAAATTTCAAAAAAGATGAATCTTTGAAAAGCAAGACATAAAATCAACCACACAGTGATTAAAATTGTATCTAGTAACGAGTTGAGACCGAACGCATAAACTGCCTCCATTCAATTTGAAATTCTTTCTCAGCCCAATTAATTTGCTTCAAACTCGTTAATAGAACCAAATACCACGCAAAAATTATCGCAAATTGGCGTTAATTATCCAAAACTAACAATTTTAAATGATCATAAATAAATTAAAATACTCGCAGGTGAAATATTACTTTAAAGCCCAGCACATTGATATCCTTCAGTCGTCACACTAATTTAGAAAAAGATGGATGAACGCCGTTAAGATAACACATTCGATTCAGAAATGACTGCGTGGCTAAAAGCTTGATCATGAAAGTAAGCTATTATCATTTTTAAAGACACTTGAGTCGAAATTAGTCGAAATCAATTGGAAAAAACGTCACTAAAATTGTTATGCGTATAGATGGAGTGGAGTTCATATTGAACCATTTCAAGAAACAATATTGTTAGTGAACTGAAACAAATTTTATCAAGCGGTAAATGCGCAGTTAATACTTTGGTAGATGAACGTTGCCCGAAAAAACATCACTAAAACTTAGACCTATGAAGACTTTGAATCTCCTTTTACACCTCCACCCCCTGAAGGAAACACATACCAGAGTTTTGTTCATCCAGGACGTAAAAATGAAGACGAAGAAATCTTAAACCATAGGTGTCAAAAACTTTTTTTTAAATATAAAATCATAGGTATATTTACAAATACAGGAATAAGCCAAAATCCACTGTATATTGAAATCAAAATAAAAAGCCATGAATTGGAAACTTAGCCGACAAAAGTAAGAAGCACAATGATACACAGAGTCGAAGCTGCGCTTCGCAAACACTAGCGAGACCACGACAAAGCAGCTTTATATAGTGAAAAAAGAAAAAAATAGAAAGAAGGGCTCTTTTTCCGTCCCCCACCTCAGATAAGCATCAGTTTTATGGTGTAACGAGAGGTTTTTCAAGGTTAAATAGGAGGACCGATTGAGTTTTTCGTAGCATTATTAGTCTGTATGCCAATTGTTGAAGCAAGCGGACATTGTGAACAAAATAATTACTAGAAAAAACTCACAGGTGGGGAGGGGGCGGGGGAGAAAGAGCCGAAATAAGCCACGAATTAGTTAACTTTCGCTACGTATTAGCTTCGAACCTGCGACCTCGAGACTTGGAGTCTCGTGCCATTCCCTCTCGGCCACGAACGCTTAACGATCGGCAAAAACTAGTCACAAATAAAGCAGCTACATATGCTAATAACATGCCAATGGAATGCAGCAAAAGAGGTACCAAATACAAATAGACCCAATCTTGCAAGTAAAAATTTGGAAAATAAAAAACTTAAGACATCCACACTAACTTTGCATGGAATAGAAGAGAATAAAGCCACATTGTATAATTTATGCGATTCAACAAATTGCCAGTTATACTGAATTCGAAAATTTCTGAAATCGAGTTACTATGATTTTATGTTGTTTGAAACAAATAGCTTTTTCGGCTCATTTGAGCAATAAAAAAGCATCAACTGTGTTAACTTATTACTATTCGAATGTCAAAGCACATACTATCAAAAAAGCTGTAAAGAAGCCACCAAAAGTGGCACCAGTATTTGCGACATAGATTAGAAACAAAACAGAATAGCCGTACTATTACACTAACGCTCACTGAAGGTCGTTGTGTACTAAAAAAGTCAATCAAATATTTTTCAGGGAATTTTTCGAACTTGAAAAAAAACCGGCTCTCGGTCGAAATCAAACACATCTTTTTCGTGCTAGAGGCTAAATGTGCACGAATTAATGCGATTCATTAAATTTATTGAAATACGTGACAGCTTTTGAGCAAATTTTCGGTTAGCAATGTTCAGTACCTGATTGCAATACTCTTCTTGATGGCACTGGTTAAAAAAAATAGCAGGGGGTAAAAAAGGAAATTAACCTGTTTTAAATGACCTTTCAAATGTAATCTAAAACTCAATGAAATGTTTCAGTGGACCTTTTGTTCCATACTTTTCACTTCAAAACACCCAGTTGATTTAACAAGCGACTAGGTTTTTTGAATACGCAAGATTCAGGGTTCAGTAGAGACTTGTTTTTAATAGACTAGGTAAGATTGTTAGTTGGGAACAAACCATATGATGACTTAAGTTTATTGGAAGTGATTACAGCTTCCCCACAAACCTAGTTTGTTGACCAGATTGAGGGCTTCTGTCAGACTGTTCCGACTGTCTTTGTATCTCTTCAGATAGAAAAACACCACTCCCTTCAGCAGATGTAGACGCACAAACAGTGCCTTCTCTTGGGAACACTTGCCTGAAAAAAAAAACAACTTGAAATATATCACACTTCAAAACGCGTTACATAAAATGCACCTAAAAAAACTCTCAGTATGATTTTATCACCAAACTATCACAATCGCATTAGAAGATCCGTTTATGTAGTGAGATGTGCACGCTTGATTTTTAAAATATAAAAGACGGCAAACATGGAAGCTCGGCTCGATCAAAAAGGATCAAGTTTCCAGTCTCCTTTAGCATTTCTGCAATTTAATCACTGAAAAGGAGAAATGGATTAAATTCACCTTTGATCAGTTCGACTCGCATCAAATTGGGACCAAAGGTCTTCTCCAACTTCTCTTCGCTCATCTGCAGTCTGGTCAGCGCATCCGGCAGCTGATCCACACTTTCCAGTCTCAAATAACACCACACAATGTCCAGCTGCAACAGCGCGTAGTTATCCACCATCTCAAGCAGCGAACTCGTACACTGTCTGAAATCCTCGTCCGCCTCCAGAAATGTGAACAAAGCGTCAGAAAACTGCCCTTTTCCCATCATTTTCTTTCCTTGCTCCACTAACGTCATTGCGACAGTAAGCGACTTCCGTTCTGATTTTCCCATCTGAATCGGCTTGCCATTTTGGTCCAGGATTTCCAGTTTGTATTCCTGCATCGAAGTTGATCCCTTGTTGCGCGATGATAGCACCTCGGCTGCGTCTCGAACTGACGATGTTCCACTTCGCAGATTATCCATTTTCACAACTGCATCATTTTCAGTCTGTGAAATAAACGCTAACACTAGCGAGTTTTTCGTCAGCGGTAAGTTGGACAATCGGTCTGTATGTTGTATGATATGACCTTTGAATATTAGCTTGACGAGATACTTATTTAGGTTGTGTTCTGATATGTCTATTTGTGATAAAATTGTTCTGATCAAATCCAACCCTGTTAACAATTTATCAATATTAATTACTATCCTCTTCGCTATTTCACCATCCATCTTTACATTACTCGAGCATGCCAGCTTCACTGACAGTTGCATTACATTTTCGTTAGCTTCATTGTTTTGGGGTTGACACTGACTTGGCGAATTGACACCTTGCAGACGTTCTTTCACATCTCTTTGAAAAATCAAGACGGCATCAATGATAGACTCTTTCGAACATTCAGAAGTGACACATGCCATGAGTTTGTCAATCAGTTCATCCGGAATATTTTCATCCCACTCCCAGATTTTGATAGCATGTAAGCGCATGTAGTCCCGCACAACCAAATCCAAATTGAGCACCCTTGACATAACTGATTAGTCCTCAATATTTACAATCATCTGAAACAAACCCACCCAGCTATTCCCTCTTTGTTTTCTGTACATAACCTAGTGAAGATATCACGACATTTCAGACATCACTATTTAAGTTAGCTTGAAATTGAGACATTCCAATTATACATGAGACAATGCAGCCAGACAAATATGATCGATGTCGATCCCTTCAACTGCTGGAGCATGGGCGCTTGGCGACTATTCGCCAACAACTAAATAATCGCATCAAGATGTTTTTATAAGCTTATCACTTCTACACTATTTTATAGGGAGGAAGCGGAGCTTCGCACCACTTGTGATAGCATGTAATCTCAGCCGGCATGAAATGAAACTGAAAGCCACTGAAAAAATTGATCTACCAAAATTTTCTAACGATTGTTTTGAATGAAATTGTTTCGGAAGAAAACATGCCAGGATATCGAAGGCAAGAAAACTTTCGAGGGTCGACCCACGCTAAGCCGATAACGAAACTGTGGACAAAAAAAATTCAAGCTATAAGTTTTTAAAGTGAAAGTTTCTGAAACAACGAAAAGCACTAAAAACACTTCGCCCTTGAAACTGCGCAACAGAAATTGAATAAACCGATATAACATAAGCCGAACCCGTTTAACAAAAAAAAACATGTATTAAAAACAGAATTGGTACATTTACAAACTAGAGCGAAACTTTCAATTACTACTAGAACCTGTCTGAATCAAAATTTAATTAAACAACCTCAGCTTTGAAAAAGAACCGCTTGAGAAGCTTACCAGATAAAAAATTGCATTTGAAAAAAAAAACGAGCCGACAGAAATTAGAACGAAAACCAATTTTTCAATATATTTGAAAAAAATACTACCCTACATGAACTAAAAGGTAGTTTTATGTGAATTTTCAAGAAATTGAGCATGTCAGGAGAATTTTTTGGGAAAATTTCCCGATTACAAGTCACTTGCTCTCGCAAGTAAAAAGATGTTTAACGTGTGCATAATTGCAGTATGTTTAAACTTCAACGTTCGCAGAGTGGCCGAAAAATATGGCACAGTTGTAGGTTTTTTGTCCAATTTCTACAATATTAGTGAAAACTCTCAGGGGTCACGTGGGATGGCATATTGAAGACTTTTCAGTGGTGATTGTGATTACAAGTTATTTAACTGATAAGTTATTGAACTTTTTCGGTTCTTTTTGCACTATGACTCTGCGTTGTTTGAAAATACTGAATTCAACCGTCTGCTCTACAACTAAAACTTTATATATTTGGTACACAAAAATGGTGAATACAGCTTAAAAGGTATACATTACTTCAAAGCTATCATATTCTGACTTTTCGTTCGTGTTTCCGATAATGTGCTCATTGCGCTTTTAAAAGAGGGCGACTTTCGCTTGACAACTAAGAAACGTAACGTTCATGACACTGCGCGCTTTTTTCTGAAAAAGCAACGGTTATTTCATGTAGAGCCCATCTCATCTTTCCACCAAATTCATTTGCAGTGGACGTTGCATTTGTCTACGACATTTGAACTTTAATCTTTGCCGAATCTAATTTTGCCACATTTTTGACATGATTATGCCGCCAAATTAGTAAACTGAAAGACTCAAAACTCAAAAAGAAATCATTTAAAAAGAAACAACTAAACTACGATTTGAAATTGGAATCTTAATCACCCAAAAAGTATTGCCATTGTCATTGGCGAAAGCATTTGCCACAGTATTGGTAGAGTGAATGCGAATGGGGAAAGAGATAAGCATCAAGCTGGAAAAGGGCCATCAGAATTGAGATTGAAAAAAGAACAAAAAGAGCAAATGGAATTTTACTTCAGCTGCGGCAGTGAAAAACGAGCAAAACCAGCCGCTCAAATTAAAATTGACAAAAACTGAAGAACTTACACACTCTAAGTGATCTCCCATTTTCTTAAGTGACGGTTGCATAATTTTTTGTCAATTCTTCGAGTAAGTTGTTTTGCATGAAAACTTCTTTCTAAAAACTCGACTCGACGTTACCTCATTTTCCTAGCTTTGTTTTAGAACAGCCCAGTTTGGCTGACTTTTTTGGTTTTCTTTCCAAATTCAGTTTAGGACAACACTTATTTTCCCTACTCGTTAAAAAGGGCAAAATTAATTGCCAATTTTTATTGATTCATAGAAAAAAGCGTGCTTTTGGTGAAAATTATTTTGATAAGGAGAAAAATTCCAAGCAATTCTGGCACTTTTGAACTTCATTTGAAATTCCTTTTAGCTTTTTCTGAAGGTTCATAGTTCTAAGAGTTAATCATGTTTAGGGAGTGAAATCTTGTACGCACGACGGATAAAACTAGAAATGTATGTATAAACTGATTACATTGGAGCATGCTCTGACATTTGCGATTACCAAAAAGATATAATTAGATAAAGATGTTCATGGTAACAATTTCTCGAACTTTCGTATGCTATTCCAAGTGAGATTTTAGTTTTTTCTACAAGTAATAGAGTTGGTATGAATTGCATTTTGGGTTTAGTGAGAAAAATCATTGGGGTGAAGGCTTTGTGCCAGAACTTGATAAGGAAGTTGGGAAAGAAAAAAAAATCTTCTAATGGACTTTTTGTTCTATCAGGGCCTTGTTCTATCAATTAGCTGTAGTAAAAATCAAAAGTCAATTAGAGGCAATGCATTGCAATTTCTATCTGACATACTTAAGAAAATTTGGTATTCTTAAATTCTAAATCGCTTCTTAATAGCAATTCAACGATGCTGAACATTTAAGCAGTTGATTTTTACACGTGCATTACTGTGTCATAGGAATATAGTGATGCTTCCAATTTGGAGCGGATGATAAATTAATTTTCGGTTTCTTTTTTGACTACGCGTAGACTCTCAGTGGGCATAATTTATGTCTTTTGTGCATCCTCTCAGTTGAAATGCTTATCTTTTTTGATATTTTCAAAATGCTGTACTGGTACTGAAGACCTGCTTGTCGCTTGCACAAACGGCGACGGAAGCGCTTCAAGCATGGCTTTGAGATTTATTTTGTAAGAGTAAATGCGCCGGACTAAAGAGTAACTGGCAAATGCAAACTGCGCCAACTGCCTTGAGAAAAACAATACAAGAAAAATCCAGATAATAAGACAATTGATTTTTTTGGATTTCGTTTTCTGGAGAAAACGGTTTCTAAAGAAGACCGTAATAACATCCGGATTTGATATGAATGTTGCTTTTCTGTCAACTATCTTTCGATAACTTTTAGACTTAACCAAACAAAACTGCAAGCCAGACAGATAAAGAGTAGCTGACTAACTATCAGTTCATATCAAATCTGGATGTTATTCGGATTTTCCTTTCAAGATGAAAGTAACTTCGCGGTAACGCTAGTTGTTTGTTTTGGTAGGATTCTGTTTTATTTGAAGGTAAACGCACTGCAAATTAGAAGAAAAAGTTTTATGACGACTGATATCTTAAGAGTCAATCAATTTTTAAGAAAATAGGCAGATTTTTTGGAATATTTCGGACTGAAGATCTGCTTGCTGTACTAACGAGATGCTATCAGCGATAATAGAATTGACTAGAATCATGTAACACAGAAGCAAGGGTTGTGTGCATTCTTTTCAACGGTAACTTCAGAATCAGATGCAACCGCAACGAAAAAATGCTTGTTTTGAATTTTTAAAACAGCAAGAGGCTAGTGCTCTGGGCGTTCACTTCGAATGTTCTTTCGACCAAATACAATCTCAACAACACATTTAGCTTTTCTCTGTTGATTGTCGTGTAAGAGCTAGTCCATTTAATTTTACCATAGTGTATTATTATTGTGTCCCAAAATGGTTTTTCTAGCGTTCTGGCTTTCGTCATGTAAATATATTTGCTTTAATAGCTAGGGCGTTTGAAGCTCGAAAAACCATTTAAGAATTTTGAAAAACCAGTTGCCGAAGTTTAACCCGTATCCTGGACCATTTATAGGATCGGAATGACAGTAATTGATGCCCCGTTCTTTGCATCTCGGTTTCTGACTGCGCACGTTGCAAAAATTCAAAACTGACCAAATAATGGTTTCACGAGTGCAATTTTGAATAAAAGAATTAAACCAAACCACAGAACAATCCAAAACAACAGAAGAAACAAAAGCACAGCTATATTTCGATATTATTCTCTGGCAAGATTGTCAGAGGGTCAGTACACAGATATTCATTATATAATAGAGAAAATAAGATGAGATTAGCTGGGAAAGGGAATCATGCTTTCGTTTAATTATCGGTCTAGGTATGACACAAGCATGGACAAACATTTGATATGATTTTCGCTGCTGCACAAATTGCAAAACACGGACTTTCAAATGTCTAGCCTGTCCAGTTATCTTCGACTGTGTTAGGTCGTTCTTGATCAGAGACCTGATCTTCAGATCCAGAATAACTTCGCGACTATCTTGGTAGTCTCCAATATCATAAAAATTCGCCTGATCATCGAAACTGGATGACTGGTTTTTGTCTACATCATGAGTGTATTACTCTTCATTTTCTAAAGCCAGGATCGAAAGAGTATCAAATGTTTAAACATGGGCCAAGTTTTGACTGATCTTTGCGTGGCAAAAATATGATAAATTTGCAGATGTACACCTGATCTCAAAGTTGCCTTTGCATTAGCTGACTTTGGATGAGTTGATGAGCCTACACAATTTAATTTGCACATTTTCGATTCTGTCAACTTGAAATTTTCAGCAAAAAACAGCAGATGTCTTCGTAACATTGACGTGTTCTCGGAGCAGTACCTTCTTGTACTTGTAGGGCAAGATAAAGGATACTATTAACACTGAAGAGCTTTTCATTACAATTTTGTCTGGGAATGAAAGCTGTTCATCAAGTTTTGTAAGATTTTCAATCTGTTTCAGCAAAAGACTTAAGTCTAAGCTAGAAAAATGTAGAAAAGAACCACTTCTCGCCATATAATAGGGTTCTTTTGTCGCTCTACTTCTGCGTTGCTTTACATGAGCTCTTTTAAATTGTTGAGCTCAATCTTTTGTTCTAAAGCTAAGAGAAAAAATTGGTAACTAACAGCGCATTCAGCTTAAAACGGTATATATTTGGTGCAGTTCATATGGTGCATATTATGAGTGGTTCAAAATACGGTGCTCTTTGCGCATTCCAAAAAGGTACCCTTCGCTTTAACTTTAAGTTAAGGAACACAACATCATTAATACTGCCATTTCCAACCTATTTTAGCTAGTATCTTTCTTGTAGTGTGTTCCCTAGTTTAATCACAATCAACTTGAGAAATATGAAATTGGCAAAAAAATAAGAGAAATTTGCCAACTATTATTCTTTGAGTAACTGAACTAGCTCACAAACTGTAAGAACGTAAGATAGTTTTGGCTAAAACAGAGTAAAAATTGCAGTATATCCATTGTGAGATCAGTTTCGTCCGAATTTGTGTCAATTAATCTGACAACCAGAAAACTTTGCTCGACAATGACAACTTTATAGGAGTCACGACTGAAAGGTCTGTAATAAGACATCACACTTCTGTGAGTCCTGTGATTTTTCTTTGATTTAGTCAAAATCAAGTGTAAAGGCTTTTCTTACGACATGCTTATCTCTCCCTCTCCCTCTCCCTGTCCCTCTCTCTCTCTCTCTCTCTCTCCCTCTCTGTCGTCTTTAGGATTTCCACACACAATCTTGCGAAGCTATCCCTTTTTACCGTGCTAAAGCAGGGGTCACTAAGGCTCGGTATTAACGACAATCCCGAAAGGGTTATTTTAGTGGTGAGTTGTCCTCTACTGTATTCTATTGCTCCCCCCTGGTCAGTGATGCTCTTGCTCGCTATATCTCGCTTGAAGTCGCGTATAACGAATTCCTTTCTCTCAAATGAATTCAATATATATGTCTGAATGAATACAAAGGGCCTACTAGTTCGGCCAGCGTATAATTTAATAATATACAACAGAATGGTTTGCGATCTGTACACGCTTAACAATTTCTTCTCTGCGTACTCGGTCAGTACACGTGTCGACTAATCTCTCTGACTTGTGCTAGCTTCTGCTCTAACTAATATTCCACAAGGCACTTCGACTTGCGTTCTTACTTCACTCGCTGTGAAACAATTAACTGATGAGTTCAGATAGCGACCACAACTGGGACCTACTGAATCTTACCTTCGTTAACTCGTTCTGCTAAAATCCGCTCTCTAACCTCCACTTCTTATCTCTATTTGTGCTCCGTTTTTGTTAAAGTCACGCCACTTCATATCGGTGCTGTCATCCCCTTAAGCACAACCGCCCCCTATGGTTTTCCCTTTTACCTACTCCCCCTGTCAAAGCTGACAGGTCCCAAGTCCGGGGTTTTTATCGACTTGTTCACGTTTCGTAAATACATCCCCCTGCGGTTGGCATCGTAAATCGGGTAAGTAACCGAAGTCGTATGATTCTTATCAGTTAAATCCGCCTTTCGCTACTTACTTAAATACCAACTGACTTCGGTGTCAAATCTTGACCCAAGCAACAAAGTCATACGATCCCAATAAACTAACCATAACCCGATTTTGAACCAAATTTACTACTATTTCCCTATCATGTTAGGATAAAATACACGGTCGGTAAGTCGAAAATTTGATAGAATTACCGATTCTACACTCTCTCTCCTCTCTCCTCTCTCTCTTCTCTCTCTCTCTCTCTCTCTCTCTCTCTCTCTCTTTCTCTCTCTCTTTCCCTTTTCTTTCTTTGAGTCGAACGTGCTTTTCGTTTTATTTCCTCAGAGTAAAAGGTCCTGTAGTGTTGGTAATAACTTGTTTTGAGTGTTCGAACAAAAACAGGCAGGGTATCGAGTTCGAAATGAAATACTCTGTCCGTCATTGCCACTACTACAGGAATTTTCGCTTTGGGAAAAAAACAAGCAGGTTTGACTGAAATTATTCCTAAACTTCAAATGATTTTGGATTCTCCAAAACTTAAACTAATGATTCAAATACATAATTTTAGCAAAACATTGGCCATTGGAGTCAAAGCTATTTTTTGACTTGTTGCTTTCCATCAGAATAACTCATGGAAGCAGCATCCTGTCCAGTAGATTGTGTGTAACTTGCTCTTTGAACATTTTCCAGCAGAATAATTGGAAAAACAGCAATAGTAATGTGAACAGATGGATATTAGACAGGAAGGAAGATCTCGTAGCATAGTACATGCCACTCAGTCAGTTTTGATGAGTCCTTTCTCCGACAACTGCTGCACAAAATCGCCCTTGCTCAGCTTCTGCCTTATTTCACTCGAGTCCCCCACAAACTCACCTTCCAGAAACACTTGCGGCACCTAAACATTGCCTTGTTTTAAGATCAACCACTCAAATTAATCAATGTTTTTACCCTTTCTAAGTCTGTCCTCGGTGGAATTGCCAGGCCGCCATTCAACAGTTGCGTCAAAAACGAAAAAATAAGTTCCACGGCGTAAAGGCTAAAACATAATTAGTGACACGATCTCTTCTTTTCTGCATGAAAACCTGCACAAACTCTTCGAACGACTTCTGCTTATACACTCAATTTCAAAACCTAACTTTGATAATTGATTGTGTGAACTGTCACAAATCAATATAAAGACCCTATTTCGAACGCATTTTCTCCGCCGCGTAACAGAATTCACCAAGTAACACAATACTTGCACCAATAAGCTTGCCTCAAATCAAATTGAAATTTTTTATCAAAGTCAGGGAATTTCGTCAAACACTTTCTCGTTAAAATAAAAGAGGAAACGTAACGCAAAAAAAATTGATCTCACACTGACATTTTAGTGACTCAAGCCAATTATGACGCATAAGCATTACCATTCAATTTGAAAAAAAGAAAGGTACCAACTATTTATAGGCCTCAATTTATAGAGCGGACGCATTTCAACTAGTATACGAAAAAACATCCTTAAAAACATTCGACCTCATCCAGGTTCGAACCCGTAGTTTGTTGCGGTCTTCTTCCCTACCTCTAAGCTACATATTCATGATGCCTTGAAGCTTAAGTGCTATTTGTAATAAATTAGTCTGTGTTAATATCCTTAGCATTGGCTGTACTTAATAGCTGGTTATTGATCAAAATGAACACTAACATTTGCGACTTGGGTCGGAAAAAAAAGAGAGTTCAAACTATCACATAAGCTTCGCTTGTGTTAACAAGAATGAGCATGAATGAACTTCCTGAAAAAACCCACCACCTAAATCAGAGAACGTTGTTCTGTTCGTTCATCAACACTTGCTCATGAGTTCTTTTCATGAACAATGAAACATGCTTACAGTTCTGATTCCAGAAAGTTTCTGGATTTGGCTCTGCAGAGCATCTCCTCCTCCCATCTTGTCCAGTTCAACCAGATGATATTGTGCCCCCACCTTGTTCAGCTCAGCTTTGGCCTTGGTGCAGAAGCCACAGTACGTCTTCGAAAACACTACGAGACTGTGTTCCTTGATAATGGCTGCGGCAGTGGCCGACATTTTCTGTGACAGGATTAGTTGGAAGCAGAGATAAGACAGTCTCAAAACTACCTGAAGAGCGAAATTGACCTTAAATGTTTGGACAACAAAATTTTATAGTAGATGTTGAGTTATATAACAAACAGCAACATAGTTGAAACACAGAAGATTAATAAAATCAAATTCAGCCAGAGCTGATTTTATAAAAGCTTCAAAAATTCGTCCATTCTGAAAAAAAAGCTGATCTGCTATTTTCATAAAACGGTGCCAAATTCGGTCCTCACTCCAAAAAAGACGAGCAAAAATTAATAAGTAAAAATAAATTAAACATCACAACAAAGTTGCACAAAAAGCACAAATCACGATAGTTTGAATTTAGAACTCAAAATGCTTCAATAACGCACTGTAATTTGACTCTCCTCCTCCCAAACTGGTAAGTAAAGCTCTCTTGCGGTCAGCACGTTAAACGCAAACAATGAATTACTGTTAAGTTCAATTTGTATTTGCATTGAAATGAGTAGTAGCTACACCTATTGGTAATGAGGATTTCAGGACCTCCCAAATATCAAAAAAACTCTTCTACAAAATGCTCTACTTTTGCAGCAAAGCCAGCCATTGAAAATAAGAACACAGGTAAGAACACAGGATGAAATGGAGGAAGCACTGAAGACAAGTCACTCCAAGTGCTTTTAGTCTCATCATATTTTGCTGTATAATGATGACGCTGCATACTAGGTGTCACGCACAGAAAATCGACCAGCACATATATTCCCAAAAACAAACATAGCCAACGGACAGTTGGAAAAGAGTCAATGAACGCAATTTAAATTCTAAAAAATACTTGTTTCTCAATTTGAAATCAAACGTCACACCGCGAAAAAGTAAGTTTGTGACTGAACAAACTTTAAGATTTTTCCTGAAAAAAAATCATCGCGACCTATACAAGAATTTGAACTACATTCTTCAACTCTGAAAAAAGATTTTGCCCATTTTATTAATTTTGGCTTAATCTTTTTAAATATATTTTGCGAGAACAATCCGCATAAAAAGTTTCTTGCATAAATTGAGGTCAATTTACAGGTAGGTATTCGTGCAGGCAATCTAACAACGCTCAACTAAATCTGTAAGCAAATTGTATGTTACGCGTGGAAATCAAACAGATGGAAAATCATTCACGAAAACACAACTGTTCGCGATACCTAACCATATTTGCTGAAAAAACGAATAGGAATTGAGTAATGCAGAAATACATAAAACAATTTGATTGAATGAAAAAAGTGTCAAAGCCATCCCGGAAAAGTGAACTGAAACCTGAAACGAAACTTTGTTTGGCTTCTACTCTCCATTGGAAGACAGGCGAAATCGTTCCCATTCAACAGACAGTTACTTCATTTAAAGCTCTTTTTACATAAATTAAGCAACACCCCCCCGCCCATTTTGGCTTGACGAGGGAGGAGAGGGGGGGGGGGGTCGAGGAGTAGAGAGCCCAATAGGCACTTGAGACCCGTTTATAACCACTTGAACTAATTTTAATGGTCTTAAACTATACGCCAGATTCTCCAACAAACGCGGAGGACCAAAAATCACATACTGATAACTCAATAACTAGGTTTAGAGTTTAAAAAAATAGCCAAAATAGTCGCATATTAAACCGGCTTCTTCCTGTTTTGTTTGCACAAAAATGTGCAATTGCATACATTATTAGGATGCTGAAAGTTTTTTTTTTGGCATGAATAGATCAATAAATGAGCCTGGTATTTTGCTTACTTCGAAGCCATGATCGCAAAAAAAATTAATAGAATTTTTTATTCTCGACGTTCATAAAGAGACTCAGTCCGCCAATTGATTGCAACCAATTTACACTTCAACCACCTGCTCACGTGTGAAAACTTGTTTTGCCGTTTTTGCATAGGAGGGGGGGGGGGGGGGGGGGGGGAGGTGAGAGAACACGGAGGAGAGGGGGTGAGAGATTGCTCAATAGATTCCTCTTTTTCAACCTTGATACCTACGAGGGTTTTTTAAATTAAATATTTGCCCCAAATGAAGACGATGGCCCGCAGACAGTTGGCATTTTTTGATTTTTTTTGAACTTTTTTAGTTATCGAGAGGAGACTGAATTGTATAACAAGCTATAGGAACAAAATAAAATCGGCGAAAAAGATACAATAATGAAAAAAGCATGAAGAGCTCAAATGTAAATACAATTTGAAAATCATTAGTTTGAAAAACGAAAACATTCAGGTCTGTTTTTCTCGAGACTGAGCGAAATACTATAATTTCCATTGGTTGCCCAACACAACTCTTCCACTGAAGTTGACAAGCAAGAAAATCCCACAAACGCAAATTTTGCATGTAATAACTTCTAATGTAATAAACTTCACGCAGTTTTCAAACAAAAACTGATAACAAGGGCAAAGCTCTGAATGTTCCGACTGACCTTAACCATGTCACAGGCAAAAATTTTAAAAAAAGTATACTTTTTGATCATTTGAAAAACCTTCCCCCAAACGCACTACCAAACACAAAGCCAAAAAAAACAATTTGGTTTAAACTAGAATAGAATACCAAATATTCTTAAATTTTTTCCATTTGTTTCGATACATGCTGAAATAGACATTTTCTAGCTTTAAATCAACATTGCAACAATCTTACGAAGCGGCGTTTAACTCATTAATACCAGGGATGACGCTCGTTGAGTCGAAAAAATAATACAATTAGAGGTCACCCTGAAGCCCGCACACGCACGCAAAGAAACGCTTTTTTTTGCATTCTACACAAAGCTATATTAAGAGACGACTGTACCCACACAACAAAACCCGAACTTTCTGCAGCAGTAGATACCTAGTAAGCTAAACACGAACAACATAGCCAACTGACAGTTGGAAACGAGTAATGAACGCAAAGAACCTAAAAACAAGAACTGACATGTTTTTTCAAAAACCTTCAACTTTTGAATTTCAAAAACTGTCAACTTTTGAATGGCCTTAAAGCTCTTTGAAAGTCGATCATTTCGAAATAAAAAGTCGATCACGTTTTTCGTGACCTTTACACTGTTGCTGTTCGATAGTGGAGTTTGCCTTCCTTTTAACAATGAAAATGCACTGAACTTGAAAAATGAAACCGCTAAAAAAAATCAGCAAGATCTATATAAGAGTACTCACTACGGTCATTATTCTTAAAAACAAAAAAAGGAAATTTGTGACATTCGACCAGAATGGCCAAAATGCAATTTGTGCAGACTTCGAATTTTTAGCAGCGAGCCTTCCGGATTGGTGGTTATTGAGAATTAAGGACGTTATTGGAACGATTAGCCAGACGATGAGGGCTGGAATATTCCGGTATTTTTAAATTTCAAAAATTCGAATTATGACGTCATATTTCTGAGAAACGTCAGAAATGGCCATTTTGGCTAAAACGAGAAAAGAACAAGAACAACTTTATCTGCGATAGCGAACAGGACGAAAATCGAGATTAAAAACGACAACGAACTACAGAATAGCAGAGGACGTTCCGAGTTGCAACTATTGTGCTGCTACAATAGTTGCAGGGCCGTTGCGAACAACGGTGAAGGGTAAGAAACCAGCCTTCCGGATTAGGAGGGAATCAAGATTAACGAGCTTGATTCAGCGGATTCGTCAATCCGGAAGGGTAAAGAAACTGAAACTTTTATCCTGCCACGTAAACTTTTAGCATCCTGTCATGTCCTGACTTGAATTTAATTGATATTTGGATTAGTTTTAACAAGGATGAGGTGCTAGGAGTTGGGGGAGGGGGGGAAAGGGTTGATCCATCTTCGATGGAGATGATGATTTTTATCTACTGAACAAAAACAATAGTAATATAATAAGTAGTAACCCTGTTTTTAGGAGTGACCTCGTGGTCTGGGGATACTGAGACCCAGCCATGAGCTCACTATTTGCATGTAATTAAGTTAATTTGAGCGTTCTGGTCGAAGCCGGAGAACAGTAACGTTTTTGTCGACCCGATGTTGGAAAGACCACCGAAAGTACTGGCTTGGTAGAGACGGTGAAAAGCATGCAAAGCTCTGTTTAGACGTTAGCCAGTCGTCTTAAGACTTAGTTTTGTTTTCCGTCGATATTTATCTTCCGGGCGAATGTTACATTGTAACATTCGTCTACTGCAGTCACACATGAGGCTTAAGAAAAATAGGCCCTATAACCACTGGCTCAAGGGTCAGGGACACTATCTCTTGTGTTTTTCTACCTCAAGAACGGTCGGAGCCAGTTCGGTTCGCTTATGACATGAGACTACGACCCGTTACAGCTTAAAGGCTACTACTAAAATATCCCCCCACTCTAGAATTAGAAACGTCCCCATACTTAGGTCTCTAGATACCCAAAATACATGAACGCCGTTAAAAACCGGGTTGGAACAATCCGTTAGGTTACTTTTTATTAGACAGTGTGACTTTGATCCATTTCAGATGGATCAACCTAAAACTCGCCTTACCTCAGCATAACAATCATAAAACACACTCTAGAATTTAAATTCGTACTCACATATCAGCACGCTCAAGAATTGGGAAAATAATCCAGTCAGTAACTAACTCAAGAAATAAATAACTAAGAGAAGTTTAATGTTTTATAGTTTGGACAGCAAGGATAAGTTCATGCTCTAGAATTTGAGTTCTCTTGGACCGTTGGGACACTCCAGTTGTCCGCCTTTCCGCTGAAGGTTCACTCTGGTCCAACTTCAGTAATCGCTCTCTCGGGGATACTCTGTCTTCTATTTCAAGTAGGACAGCTCTACTCTCGTTCACTATGATGGAAATTGCGAATAGCAATTTCCCACTCGTTTTTTAATTGACAACTTCCCCGCAATTGTTCTAAAATTGTTCTGATTTCTTTTTCTGATTTTCAGTTGTCGCGAGAAAATCGTGCATGACATGTTCCTTTCGAAATTTTGAAAAATTAAATTTCACTTCAAAATCAAGTATTTTCTGCTCTTCTCAAGGTCAAACTTCCAAATATGACCGACTGGCACATACTCCCCGGACTCGAGATCGATGTCCTCATCGCGCGCTGTCTTCTGCCAGTGAGTCCCAGAAAAACCGAGTGTTGCTCAAGATACAGTGCCAG